GCCCCCGGGCGGGGCCGGAGGGGGTACAGCCCCAGGCAGAGGGACAGACCCCCGGGTGGGGCCGGAGGGGTACAGCCCCAGGCAGAGGGACAGGCACCGGCACAGGGCCGGAGGGGGTACAGCCCCAGACAGAGGGACAGACCCATGCGTGGGGCCGGAGGGGGTACAGCCCCAGGCAGAGGGACAGACCCATGCGTGGGGCTGGAGGGGATACAGCCCCAGGCAGAGGGACAGGCCCCCGGGTGGGGCCGGAGGGGATACAGCCCCAGGCAGAGGGACAGGCCCCGGGGTGGGGCCGGAGGGGGTACAGCCCCAGGCAGAGGGACAGGCCCACAGGCAGATGATATTTTATTATGATGATTTTAAATTAAAATTATTCAGCATTTAAAAACAGCTCCCCTGGGCCCCATGGCCCAGCGCCAGCTGTGATCGTGTGCAGTGGCCATGCAGGGCCGGGGACAGACACCGCCCGTCCAAGAGTTTGGGATGAGGATTGTCGGAGGCCAGGCAGCGGGCCCCGGGCCAGGGCTGGATCATGCTGGGGAACTGGCCTGGCCACGGGTTACCACAGTGGCCCCTGCCTGGACCAGGCACCCTGAAGGGACCCAGCCCAGCTGGGCAGCCCCTTGGGCCAGGGAGGGGCAATGGCACCCTCACTCACAGCAGTGCCCACGTCTTCGGCTCCCCTGCGCCTCTCCTGGGGGCCGTGCTGCTGAAAGGGGAGAGAGGGGGGACCCCTGCCAAGCTTCTGTCCCGTGTGGTTCTCCCTGCAGTGAGGGCTCAGCACGTACCAGGCCCTCACCCACGGCCCGTCTGTGCCCGGCAGCGGATGCTGCTCCGCCACGCCCCACACGCGGGTGCAGCGATTACAGGTGGTGACAAAATGCACCGTGTCGGGTGAGCAGCTCAGCCAGCAAGGGCAGGTGAACGTCAGGGGCAGGGCCAGGGTAGATCCTGGGTTGCCCACCCAGCAGCCTGTGCACACGCCCTCCGCAACAGTGCCAGCTAAGTGCCAGCACGGTGTGCACCACACACGTGCTCCCCCCTGCACGCCCTCTGCGGCTCCCAGCCATGCGGGTCTGGGTGGGGCCGCAGGCAGGACAGGCGCGGGGGGAGGCTGTGAGACCTGTTGGCCATAGGGATACCCCACCTCCCGCGGGGACTTGCCCGTGCACGTCCGAGCCCCGGAGCCATGGGGGAGGGGAAGGACCCTGGGCACAGCCCCCCCCGCCGCTCCTCCCTTCTCATTCTCTCTGGGCTGCTCTCCCCGCTCAGGCAGCCAGGCTCTCTTGTGGCTGGGGGCCCCAGGGCTGAGGGGTCAGCCAGGCTGTGGAGCACGGGGCCCTGCTGCTCCGAGGGGGAGGGGTGCGCGCGTTGGGGGGAGGCACAGGCTAGGTGCAGAGAGGAGGGAAGATACAGCAATTAAAATCAGGTTTTAAAAAGGGGCAAGCGGCCTCCACACAGTCCCTGGCCTGCAGCGGGGGCCCAGCGGCTCCCTCTGGCTCATGCGCCCAGGTTCCTTCCCTCACGGCTGGAGGGAGTTCTCCTGCACCGGGCGCGGCGCTGCTGCGGCAGGCGCCTGGCAGCCGCTGTTCTCCAGGGCCAGCTGCATGCTCCAGATGCTGAGGGGGCGCATGTAGGCCAGAGAGCGGAAGACCTTCCTTTGGCAATAGGCCTCTGGTGTCTGGAAGGCCATGCCCAGCCGCTCCCACACGGTCCGGTAGCAGCCCTCCGCTGTGTGGAAGCCCTCCTGCACCAGGCCCTGCAGCAGAGGGAGAAGAGAGTCAGGCCCGTCCCCTGGCACCGCCTGCTCGTGCCAAGGGGCGCCGTGCCACACCCACCTCCTGGATCATGGTGGCTGCCAGGGCGTACACGACCCCAACCCAGGCCTCGCTGGACTGCACGCTGGAAGTGTCCAGGCTCCCATCGGGCCTCATGCCGTTCACGGCTCCCATCGTCCCATTGGCAAAGCCCATGACGTTCAGCTCAAAGATCGTCTTCAGCGCGCTGAGAACATGGCTCCTGGGGAAAACCTGCGGAGAGAGACACCCTCAGGCCTCTCGGCCACACAGGGCCCCACCCTGAACCCAGGGCCCGGGGGCCGGTCCTGCACTCGGAGACAGCGGTGGCAGAGTCTGTTTAAGGCAGATAGGGCCAGTACATCATCTGCTTTCTGTACAGCAGAGACCCCTGGTCCGAGCCCAGCAAAACACCGAGCGAAAAGGCAGCAGGCCGGATGGGAAGACACCAAGGCGGCGAACCCACCACTGCCATTGCGAGTCTGCGCCAACGTTCCCGAGTCAGCGGCTCCGGTGCCTGTTGCAGAGCCAACGGCACAGCAGGGAGCAAGGTGGCCAGCCCCACGCCTGCTGCCTCTGCCGGGTCAGGTTCCCATTCTGCAGCTGGCTGAACTGGGGGGGGCGAGACTCAACCCCCCACCGGCAGCCTTACCCACGCCGCCACCCCCTCGCTGCGCAAACTCTCTGGCTTCAGCTCCCAGCCAGTGGTTCTCGTCCTGCCTGTCCCTGCTGGATTACAGAGCCTGGCAGTGCCCGGGATCGTCTCCCCAGGCTGACCTTGTACACCACCACCAAGTCCCCGCTCAATCTGAGTGCGTTCAGCCTCTCTCCATCCGACACTCCCCCGCCCTCACACCATCGGGGTGGCTTCCCCCCACCCTCTCCAGTTGTTCAACACCTCTTTCCAACAAGTGCCTGCGGGATCCAGTATCAGTCACACCAGTGCGCTGTGCAGCGGTAAAATCGCCTCCCTGCTGCCCCGTGTACACATCACATTAGCCTTGTGTGCCACAGCAGCGCAGGAGCAGCTCAGAGCATCATGTGACTGGGAGGGACCTCGAGGGGTCTCTCGTCCAGTCCCCGGCACTCATGGCAAGACAAAGTATTATCTAGACCAGTGGTCTCCAGCCTTTGTATGCCCAAGTTCACTTTCTGAATTTAAGTGCAACCCAGGATCTACCCTGGCCCTTCCCCAAAGCCCTGCCCCACTCACTCCATCCGCCCCCGTCACTCACTCTCCCCCACCCTCACTCACTTTCACCGGGCTGGGGCAGGGGTTGGGGTTTGGGAGGGGGTGCGGGCTCTGGGCTGGGGCCGAGGGGTTCGCAGTGTGGGAGGGGGCTCCAGACTGAGCCTGGGGCAGGGGGGTGGGGTGCAGGAGGAGGTGAGGGGTGCAAGCTCTTGGAGGGAGTTTGGGTGCAGGAGGGGGCTCTGGGCTGGGGCAGAGTGCTGGGGTGCAGGAGGGGGTGGGGGTTCTGGCTCTGGGAGGAGATCAGGGGTGGGGTTCGGGGTGCAGGAGGGGGTATGGGGTACTAGCTCCAGGAGAGGGTAGAGGCTGGGGGTTGGGGTGCAGCTTCCCGCCAGGCAGCACTTATCTTCGGCGGCTCCCGGTCGGCGGTGCAGTGGGGCTGCTGCTAAGGCCGTCTCCCTGCCTACCCCGGCCTCACGCCGCTCCCAGAAGGGGCCAACTCGCCCCTGTGGGGGGTGGGTGGCTCCGCGCGCTGCCCCTCTCTGCAGGCACTGCCCCCGCAGCTCCCATTGGCCACAGTCCCCATTCCCGGCCAATGGGAGCTGCAGGGGCGGTGCTTGCAGGCAGGAGCAGCGCGCGGAGGGCTACTCCTGCCCCCCCCCCACCCCTGGGGCCGCGCTAGACACTTCTGGGAGCGGTGTGGGGCTAGGGCAGGCAGGGAGCCTGTCTGTCTTAGCAGCAGCCCCACTGTACTGCCGGAGATGGCCATCGACTGGTTGGTGACCACTGATCTAGACCATCCCTGACAGGTGTTTGTCCAACCTGCTCTTCAAAATCCCCAATGATGGAGATTCCACCACCTCCCTAGGCAATTTATTCCAGTGCTTAACCATCCTGACAGTTAGGAACTTTTTCCTAATGTCCAACCTAAACCTCCCTTGCTGCAATTTAAGCCCATTGCTTAAATGGTCTAGATATTACTTAGTCCTGCCTTGAGTGCAGGGGACTGGACTAGAGACCTCTCAAAGTCCCTACGATTCTATGACTCCTTGATTTGGCATCAGGGCTTTGCACTTGTTGCTTGGCTGGTGAAATCTAAGGACAGTGCTCACCGCCAGTCTGGGGTTTTACGCCCTATTTCTGGCACTCTGCCCCGAGTAAGGTGCCCACGCTCCTACATCCCCCAGACAGTGTGACAATACGACTTTGCATTTGCCACATTGTGTTTGAATGGGCCCAGCTTCCCACGCAATCCAGATTGCTCAGATCGTCCTCATCACTTGCCACTCCCCTAATCCTTGTGCCATGTGTAGATTTGCCTTCCCAATCCACCCCTGCCACCCTGGGTGGCAACAAACCTTTGCTCACCTGGAACTCGCCCTGGTCTAGGCCGCTGGCCCGGAGGAACCACTGCCCGGCGCACTGGTCGGACATGACGGTGCTGGAGAAGGGGCCCCCGCTGCTGTCGTAGTTGTAGTATTTCCCTGCAGTGGGGACGAGAGAGTCAGCTAGACAGTCACGCCCCCGCCTCTGACACCGGCGGCCTCTCCTCTTACACTGCGCCCTGCCTACGGGGACACCACGCGGCGCCCCACAGGGCGGGAGTCACTCGCTGCCTGAGGCAGACACCCCGTGTCCCAGAGCGGGGGCCCGCACCCTAGGCCGAGGGCGGGTCAGCGCAGCGCCCCCCACGGGGCCCCGGCACCCTGCCATACGCACCGTTCCACAGCAGCCGCTCAAACGCCTCCGTGCCCTTCCTTCGGATGGCGCTGTATTTCTGTAGGACCTCGCTGTCACCCACAATCCCCGCCACCTTGCACATCACACAGACGGCTGCCAGCCACAGGCTGCCGCAGTACGCGCTGCAAAGCAAAAGAGATGGGTTTGGGCACGAGCCGCTGCCGCCAGTGCAGACGTATCCGCCACGTCAGCCTCAGCCCTGGCGCTACATCACGGGCACATTACACGGCCCTAGACAGAGATGGGCTGCAATTCCTGTCTACCTGACCAGTCCCCGAGCCTCACAGCGCTCGTCCCCCTCCCCCCCCGGGGGGGGCCCCCCTCCAGCCCCTGAGCCTCACAGCGCTTGTCCCCCTCCCCCCCGGGGCTGCGC